TTATGACAGGTTCAGCAGCTTCAGCTGCAACTTTCAAGTTCCAAACTTTCCGATAACCATCCGAAATCACCCCGAGGCCCCCGGGACCTCAACCAAAAATACGGACAAGTCATATACCACTATCCAAACTTATACCAATCTTCGAAACACTTAAAACAACATCGGAACATCAAATTAACCATGGATTCAAGCCTAAGAACTCAAAAAAACTTCCGAATTTCGCTTTTGATCAAAAAGTCTATCAAACCTCGTCCGAATGACCTAAAATTTTGCACGCACGTCATAAATGACACAACGGACCTACTCCAATTTTCGGAATTCCATTCCGACCCCTATATCAAAATCTCCCCTATCAACCGGAAAACGCCAAAATTCCAATTTCGCCAATTCAAGCCTAAATCTACTCCGGACTTCCAAAACACATTCCGATCACGCTCCTAAGTCCCAAATCACCTCCTGAAGCTATTCGAATCATAAAACCCAAATTTCAGGATCGTTTGCTCACAAGTCAACTTCCGGTTGACTTTTCCAACTAAAGACCAACTTAAGAGACTAAGTGTCTCAAACCTTTCCCAAAACCATTCCGGATTCGAACCGACTGACCCGACACCACATAATACAGATGATCAAAGCATAAAGAAGCAGAAATAGGGGAAAACAGAGCGCTAACTCATGAAACGACCAGCCGGGTCGTTACAATCCAGCCCTATGGAGAAGGTCCATCTCTAGATAATGATAGTAACCTCACAACCACTCGGTACTGTATATCTCTCACACGGCCCAGGGAAGATCCATCCCAGAATATATACATCACTGGCTATCAGTCTCCAGTACCGAGGAAACACAGGCCAAACCAGCCTCATGGAGAAGATCCATCTCCATACCAAGGGAAGATCCATCCATGAATATAATCAATCGCGCTCACTGGTAGTGTGTTACAGACTCCGGAGGGGCTCCTACAGTCCAAGTGCTATCATAATCATCAACATAACCGTTGCAGCGTGCAGCCCGATCCCATAACTGTCATTCATAATCAGGCTCTCGGCCTCACTCAGTCATCACTCTCCAGTCTCACCACGGGCTCACAAATGCTATGGAACTAGCCCAGAATAATGATATGATGTGCCAGATAATAACAACTAAGACCGAGACATGATTGATATGCATGAATAAGACTAAGTACAGTACATCAATGAAACTAATGAGATGACAGCAAGAAACGACCACTCGGGTCTTAACAGTATCGGGATGAGTCCCTAACATGATAGTTAGCATGATTTACAGCTCATTTACTTAGTCACATAATAAAAACACGGATATCAGCAAGAAAGGGTCACTACACAGTGCCATGGAATGAACCGGGACACCATTCTCACGGTGCACGCCTACTCGCTCGTCACTTGGCAGTCGCCTTCAATTAGCACGGTAGTTTTTATCCCTTTAACTTTTGTAACTGGTAGTTAGTAAACATCATACAGCTGAAAAATTCAACAAGTTATCTAATCTAATCTCAAATTTATAGATCAAACAAAGTAATCACCTGCGAGCAAACGAGCAAAAAGACGAAAAGGTGAACAATGAAATATGGAGAGAAAACCCAAGCAAAACAGAGTATAATCCAGAATTTATTCAGCTGTCATAGCTAAACAGTTCTATAAAGTGTCAAATATAACCCTAAAAGTAAAGATCAGATTTGCCAAAAAGAAGGGCATCGAAGTAATCTAACCTGAAGAGATAATGTTTAACCCAAAATATATCGCTGATCCCATGAAAACCTGAAGAGATAATGTTTAATCCCCAAAATTTATTGTTGATCCCCATGAAAAACAAATGTTGGCAAACTAAGAAAACAACTCAAAGCACCAAAAACAAGAGGAGCCTGATGTTACACGTTTGAGAAGAGAAAGAGCCTCGTATCCTAGAGAAGAGAGCGTGAACGGAGTAGTGTAAAATAAAATATGCTGAG